AATAGGTTCTAGGGCATACATGTTTTTGCAGTTATCGCTTTTCCAACGACCATGGAGTTTTAATAGTCTTTCTCAAATAGGGGTATTTGACTATATAGCTGCTGTCATACCGCCTGGATCTTAAGCTATGTAAAGCTTAGATGATTGTAATCTTGGGAAATAAAGCAGTTCTTCAACATTTCTCTACACCTTGTGTAAGACTGTTTCCGTTATTCTACGGAACAAATGTAATTCAGCTTTTCTAGGAATATTATCTGACTCTATGTAGCGTTCTAGTAATGCTAGAGGGCAATATTTGGTCCCCGTTCTAGCGATGTAAATCTTGTTACCTTCTCGGTAAATGTATGTCTTACTATTTGGAATGAAAATTACTATAAACTGAGTGCTTATCAAAAGAGATATGTATCGGTTTAATGTTTGACAATTCATTGAATCACAGGAACCCAGCAAAATCAATTGCACATGAAGTGGCTATACACGTAGCTCTCAGTTTCAAGGATGAGTTGTCTGTTGCGTCATTGTCTATAAWCCGCTTYRTBAWTTCAATGGTGATAGGTTTCTTCTTTGTTTTGGGAGTTATCCGGGATCTTTTGGTGCTTTCGACTATATTCCTACAGCTACTCTCGTCCATTGGATTGAGTCTTTCGAGCGGGCAGAAAGAGTGGAACCATTCAATTGCCGCGTGGGCCTTGTTTGTCGAGGAGGCAGACATGCTGTCTTTGATCTCGAGGAGGTAAACAACTACTATTGAGCTTGGAAAAGGTTTACTTATGTTCGCAGACTTCGGTTTACACCATTGGAAGAATCTGTTGATCTCTTTTAAATAAAGGGCTGCTGTGGAAGTAGATCTAGAAGTATACATTGCTGTTAGTAAATTATTTAAATCGGGCTTTAACCCAATTGGCAAACGGAGCCACGAACGGCACTCTTGCATAGTCTGAAAAATACAACATTGTGCATATATGTTAGTATAGTGCCGTCTATACGTACACTCTTGATCCGGATTCCCATGATGCCATACGTTAACTATTAGACATTACAACAAGAAACGGTCGATGGCAAACCATGACACTGGGTTGTCGGATACCTGATGATATACTAGTCGTCTGAAACTTCAAAATTATACCCGCCCTTGCGTTTTGTATACCTTAAGCAACAACTGGCCCTTGCCGTTTTGTTGTTCTCTATAGGAGGTCTAGCATACGTAACAATCTTGATACGGATTCCCATGATGCCATACGTTAACTATTAGACATTACAAAAAGGAACGGACGGTAATCCATGACACTGGGTTGTCGTATACATGATGATATGCTAGTCGTCTGAGCATTCAAGAATATACCCGCCCTTGCGTTTGTATATCGTAAACAACAACTGGCCCTTGCCGTTTTGTTGTTCTCTATAGGAGGTCTAGCATACGTTATTCCTATCAGCTGCCATAAGTTACAAATGATTTGTACTCGCACTTGCGTTGGCATATACAAGTCGCCCTTGTCTACTGTTAAGTAAAACATTCCTTTAGTGTACACGTTTCTACGAACTTATACATGCATGATATACTCGCCCTGTGTTTGTATACCTTTGACTGACGCAGATTTCAACAATACATGCCGCCCTTGCGTTGGTACAACGGGAATTAAAATGGCCCTTGCCGTTAACTCATTTTACAACAGCCCGATATAAGTATAGCATTCATACCTTACTGTGGTCTTTTAACGTGAATAGAAGTCACATCTGTAAACACTAGCCTAGTAGCGAATTAGTGTTTCTTCCAAGTGTAAACGCTAATTTTTCCCTCCATATTAATGTAGTTTCCCACAAACCGCTTATACCTATGTACCCGAGTTAATAAGTCGTTATCGATAACCTCTTCATTTGATTGATCCTGGTTGGTTGGGGGATGTCTTGTAGCAGTCGGTGTATATGTAGGAGTCGTACGCAGGTTTTGTTGTCTTCTTTGAAAATCTCCAGCAGTCTTTGGACCAGTGGCCGTACTGAGCGCATCTGTAACATCTGAGGCTTTCCAACCTGTCTTCTTTATAGACCCCTTGCATGTGACGTCAAAGCAGCTTCATCTGGAGGACAAAACAAAAGATTTTTATCCTCTTGGGAACTAGAATCTATTGTTTTGTCCTCCAGTTGGAGCTACATTCCCATGAACTGCAAGGGGTCTATAGCTTATAAGCAGGAAAATGAGAGCAGAATCGACGAAAATTTGAACTAAATCTTAAACTACGCGAGTTACCTCGAAACTGGAAAATAACGACCCGACTGTATCCGAGAGGGTGGGGGGGAGGGAAAGTATACTC